TGAGAGGTTTCTTAAGAAATGATCTGAATCAAACTCTTTATTATTTCTATTAGAAACCCAGATGTTTTAAATACAAAAGTACAAAAGTATTCCCATCACTTCTTGTAGTACTGGAGACGAAACAAACAAAGGTGTACTGAGTGTAGAAAATGTTTCATGGGCTGGAAAAGTCCCAATGACACCCATGGGCGGCCTAAATCACTACAATCCAGGTTAAAAAAGTTTTAAAGGTCAGAAAAATAGTCTGGAGACAGAAACTTTATACTAACTATACAGAACTGGATGTCACGTTTGACGAATGTGTTTTCATTAAAAGTGTAAATGTATTTCAGACTCAGATTTGGACTCTGACGTTCACTCCCTATAAGCACGCCAAAACAAAAGATAAGCTGCTGACCCATCAGCCCTCTTTATCGAAAAAGCTTGGCTGACATACTCAGCCTGAGTGCACCGTATTAATAGTCTCTTTGACCTTTGATCTTAAGGCTCTAGAGTTATCATGTAAGATTGGTTATGAAAGTATTCTTGCCTTAATGTATCTCAAGACACTGACATTTGACTGTTACTGAGAGATATCTGGAGACTGAGGGTTAAAGTCCCCCTCGGCACACAGGCTGTTGTTGACTTTCCCTGTGCAGACTGATGCATGTGATACTACTGCTTCCACTTTCTCCTACAGAGAAGGAATAAGTGTCCCTGTGCTCAGCTTTAAGCTGAGTTTAAGATGTGTGAGAACAAGAATGATTGGAGACATCAATATTTTTGGAAGCTAGTATGGAAGCCACGTAAGGTCAAATAGGCACCCTAAATAGTCGATGTGAAAACCCACAGCTTTTAATTGAAAAGAAGACATTTTCTGTTTCGGTCAAAAATCTTCTAACATTAAAAAATACCTTGTATTTCTTGTTTTAGCAAGAAATACAATATGGAAAAATCATATCAAACACAAATTGTTATTCTAATCAGTCTATTCTATATGTCTTTCAGTATGTCTAAATGGGGTCTTTGAACAATAAATACTCATAGTTATTGGTTATTGTTTAGGCTCATCCACACTGATAATCCTAAAGGGAAACCAGTTACAGACACAGCTACAGCTGTAGTACCATGCTAACCTCAACAGACCTTTGTGGCATTTCTGCCAAACACCGTGTAATTTGAATTGAGCATACAAATTAGTTTGAGTCAGATAATAAACATGTGTGGAAAGTGTGATTGATTTATTTGACATTATGCATGCAATCCACACAAACAACATACAACAAGGCCTCCGCAAACAAACAAGCTTCAGGCCCAATGAAGCCTGCACAATTACTGACTAAACATATGGGTAAACCTACTTGGTGGTACCCAGCTGTCTGCCATAATATTTACTGTACTGCTTGCATCCAGGCAAGAGTAATACAGGCTCAGATTTAATGTCTGGATTTCATGGAGTTCACAGATAAAGCACAGACTTGTTGAAATTAACTTTTTTTAAACTGCACTGTTTTTTCAGAGCATTGGTAATGTTGCCAGAAACTGACAACACGATGAGACACATTTTATTTTATGTAGTCTGAAGCACTGGTACACCACTTAAGTCCAGGCACTGCTGTTGACCCTTAAAGAGGCTTCAGTGGATCAGCAGTATCACTTCTCAAAGATAAACACTATACTCATACTATGTGTGAGTGTCTTGTCTAAAATCCAAACTCGTCCACTAATATTCAGTGGTGGAAGAATTATTCAGATATTTGATTTCAGTTCAAATAAACATACCACAATGTCATAATACTTCAGTAGAAAATAAAAGTTGTGTAGCTTATTTTAATGCTAGTAGTACATTAGGTGTGAGTTCTTACAGCAAAACCTATAATAGTAAAAGTATTAACTAGAGAAAAATAACTCTTTAACTCAGTTAGATTATTATGTATTATACTATTTCAATGTTGTGGAGCTATGTATAGTATTGTTCAGTATCATATTTTACCGATTGTTTAATTAACTGTAACAAAGGCTAGACATTGATATGCTCATTGTATGTCTTATAATAACATCTGCAAAGTAACTAGCTGCTCAAATGAATGTAGTGAATGTAGCATAGTCAAATAAAAAGCAGGCTTATAGTATTTCCTTCTGAATTGTAGTGACGTCGTATGAGGTTGAATGAAAAGAAAGTACTTGAGAGAAACACACGTAAAGACTGTGGGCTTTTTTTTTTTAAACTACTTAGCTTTACTTGGCAAAATCTGTAGGCGTTCATGAAGTTAACTATAGTCCAGGTTTGGGACATTTTATTAGCTTTATTCGTCATAGTAAAACCAATGGAACATGTAAGTGAACTTCTGACAACACACAGGTTCATACCTTACAGTATATGGTTCACTTCTTACCTTACAGTCTATGGTTCATACCTTGACAACACAACAGCGCAGTTTTTCTGCCTTTCGCAATCAACTGCAGCGCCGTCGAACGAAGAGCCATAAAAGCTCCCCGGCACCCGTAGTTTGATGACGTTGCCGGCCAAACATGGTGGAGTGAGCACAATTTAAAAACACAGCAAAAGTGTTTGCGGAACAGATGAACAAACCGTGAATATAAACGATCAGACTGGCTGCTCCATGACATGAACCATCTACGGAGCAGTTAATACAACAATGTGCAGCAGAGGTTGCGCTATTTTTGTAGTTTTAGTGAGCGATGTCACAGTCACATGACTCTGAGTTCACTGAGATATGGAGGAGTGTTTGCAAACTGAGCAGCAACAACACAACGGACAAGAAAACAGGACAGCAAATACATGGCACACCAACAACAGCCATGTGTAAAGGTGAGGATGCAGATCTGTTAGATGTATGCTCTGAATGATTAGGTTAAACAACTGGTGGATTGAAGCCATTTAACCCTGTGTGCTCCTAAGCCTAGGGGAGCGGGGCAGCGGCCATGAGATCAAACACAATTGTGACAACATGCTTACTTACTTCACTTATTACTTTAACTAATGTCACAATACACCATAAACCTTTTTTGTGTCTAAAAGGTTCATGATTTAGTGTCAATGTTAATCCATGTGACACGTGGGAAAGATTATATATTGATAAGCATCTTCTTACTTAGAGAGATCGAATTAGATTTTTTTTAAAGGCCTTAAATATATAGCAATGACTTCTTAAACTTGTCATACAACCGTGTCCTTGACGCTTAACGTTAGGATGAGGTTTGGGATCTAAGTTGGCCATATTAGAACTCAATTAAGATGTTAATTGTGCAGGACTGTTGGCTAACTTATTACATTTTTTGTAGCTGCTAGAAGCTGATGGCATCAGCTGTTTAACAGAAGCTTAGGACTTTACCAGTTGCATAAATGTTACTAAGTGTTCCTCTCAGATCTAAATTCTTGTCATCTCAGAAAAGCCTCTGAAGTAGCATTTACATCAACAATGTCACACTAAGAAGACTTATACTACTATCATGTATATTGTTTTCCTAAATGCACAAACTAATTGTAGTCATGGAACAACATGGAGGATATAGTCGAACACTTGATTTGTGTTTGATGCACAGATCTGCAGAGCCCAAAGCGGATAGGCTTCATCAGATACCCCGGCTTGAATAATGGGGATTCTCCAGGTGATGGAGAACCATCACAGGACATCTTCTGGGACTCTACATCGCCCACAGCTGGTACTGGTAAACCAAATAGATACCCAACACAGAAATCACATCTGTTTTCTGTTGCCATTTTATTTATTTTTTTAAATCACAGATTTTTATATCTGAATTACAGCTTAATGAGCTTATACTTAATTGACAACCTGCACACCTGCTAAAGATGCGTCTTGCTGTTTTACTAGCGGCTGTACTTGGGGATGGAAACTACACATAGATACAAATAATTATGTTATATGACCATACACATGCAATAACACTGAAATTACTTTGAATAATACTTTCAAAAAAATGTTTGTGTTTGAAAACACAACTTGATCACATTTATGAAAAGTAATTTCCATTATTTTTAGGGCGTTTAGTAAGTAACAGTTTCTATCTGTCTCCAGGGCCCGGACACGTGAACACAAGAGTTGTGGAAATATCCGATATTGCCAACCGTATTGCTCCAAAGGTCAGTTATTTCTTATTTTCTTGGTTGTACCACTCAGTTTGAGGCGCTGTACTAAGGTTTTTGACTTCTTCTGCAATTATTTTGAATACAATTCTTAAACTATTGCTTATTTTGTGTGTTTTAAAAGGATGTGAAGCGGAATGAGAATGATTCTCCTCTGGTGCAGTGGATAGGTGACGGTGCCTTCCATTGCACACCGGAAACACCAACGCCAAGCGTGAGAAAGAAGTCCTCAAGGTGTGTTATCTATTCATTAAACCAGAAATTCTCTCACTCCTGACAACAGATGTATTGCCTTCATTAACAAACACTATTTGCAAGCATTAAAGTTAGTGCTGGGGGGAAACGATTATTTTGAAAACGATTAATCGGGCGATTATTTGATCGATTAGTCGACTAATCGAACGATTATTTTTCTGTTGTTCAATTCATAAAAAACGTAATGTAAAAAAAAGTAATGTAAACAATTTTTTTTTCACGATACTGTGTCTCAGGGGATCTTAATATTTAAGAACCTATTAATGTGTTATACCAGATTAACGGAAATAATCTCAGCTAACTGACGATACAAACCATGTTTACCAAAACAAAACACAAGTCTCATAAGAAGCAAACTAAAATGCTATCTAAATGACTCCTGAGCGAAAAATGCTAACGGACATTGGCACAGAACTCAAGATAACCCTTATTACTTATCGTAGCTGCACATACAAGATATCCGATTAAAGCTGAGACTCCACAGATTATGTAGGTACATAGTATCATCACTGAGTGATCCGGACTCGCGACAGGGGAAGCAAATACAGTCATCACAACACGTACCTTCACAGAGCTTCTAGGGAGATCGTCTCACCACCGTAGCTGTTAATCTGATCAAAATACGTGTTCAATGGCATTAAAATGAGAAAAAACGCGGCTGAATCGGTTAATCCATAGGTTTTTTAACGTCTATGTATAAACAAATTATTGAATTTATAATCCATAATTCCATTTTAATGTAAAAATCGGAGAGCAAATGCTAGCTGCTAATGGTTGCCACCACAGCTAGCTGCTGCTTCCGGTCAAGCAGCAGTCTCAGTGAGATATAAATATATAAATATCTTTGCGTTTTGGACTAACTTTAAAATATTCCCATGCTTTTGAAGACCTAGGGCGAGATGTTTTCGTTTGAGGGCTTCGTGCGCAATCCTGTGAGGTTTCAGTCTCCATTGTGTTAGAAGTGCGATTGCGAACTGCTTGTTGCTTTGGGTGACCCACGTGTGTGTGGCGACCATATATACAGTCTATGGTGGCGACGCGGAAATATGTCGTCGACGATATTTTGGCGTCGACGCGTCGCTACAGCACTAATTAAAGTACATTTTTACTAGTAGCATTTGTTTATTTTGGATTAGAAGAAACACCAGATTCACATTTTTTCTTTATTTCTTTCTCTCTACAGGAAGAATAGCGTGGACGACCTCAAGAAACTGGCCTGGCAGTTTGATGAAAACATGAAGCAGGACAGAAAACTGACAGAGACATCAGTCCTCGGTAATGTGAAGGACCCAACGGATCAGGTGGAGGCCGAGCTGCACGCTCTATTTGACTCCTCCACCCAGCAAATCAGCGGCTTCCTGAGCCAGGGCTCGTCAACATCGGCCAGCGCACAGAAAACAGCTGCACATCCTGCTGGAGCACGGGGATCCTGTAATGACGACTGGGAGGACGACGACCTCCTTGACTCCTTTGTGCTGTCTATTCCTGACAAAATCACTAAATATCAGAAGGGTGGTGTAGACTCTGTTAAAGACATTTCAGACAGCTTATGGGATGATGGGGACGACGACGCGCTGCTCTACCAGGTATGTGACACCGTGGAGAAGATCTCTAACAGTCAGCCACAGCAAGCAAGCACCAGCAACTGCCAAGCAAAGCAAGATATTTATGTGGACAGACAGAGAAAAACCCCTGTGCCAATCGACACGTCCCGGCTCATGGTCGCCGGTGCTAATAGTCAGTCGCCACGTGCTTTTTTTCGCTCTAACTCATTACCGGAGACTAACAGTAAAACTGTGAACTACCATGGGTGGAACATTCCCATAAAGGGTGCCAGCAACAGATCACAGACGTCTCAGAGCCACCCGGGAAGCCGTGGGAGTCTGGGCACATTTAACCAGGACAGGGATTCCTCTGGAACTTTCCAGGCCAGGAATGTGGACATGAAGCCGCACTCAGTGTCAGCTGGGACATCGCAGAGCTCCAAGTCCCACCACACGGCCTTCAAGAGAAACGTGTCTCACTCGGCAGCTATAAGCAGCAAAGGTGAGCTGTCTAACATGTGTTATTTACTCCTGGTCTCTATTAAAGCATGATAAAGAATAGTTTAGATTACATTTGATTGTCATTGCACAGAGTATAAGTACTGTTAGCTTCTCTAACCAGCAGTGCAAGAGAAGCAGTAAAGTGCTTCATATAAATATGACAGATATAAAAAAATTAAAAAAGCATGTACACTATGAAAAGTATTATAGGTTACAAACACTCTGAACAGTAGTATGAATGTTGAATACACTATAGAGGTAATAGCTAAATAAACAGTATACTATAGACAAACGTATGAACACCTTATAGAACAGTAAAGACACTATAGACACAAATAATAGGAATTATTATTATTAGTACACTATAGAAAGTATAACTAGTATGGACAGTTTTATAATAAAAATAAGCAAATAAATGACTTATTCAAAAGAAAAATTATTAAATTAAGCTAAAGTTAAATGATGTTAACACGTAAGAACACATGTTGTTTGTCGTAAGAACACTTTTCTATAATTCGACAGCATTATAGTAAATGCATTTGATAAGTGGTATCCAGTAGAATATGTGAAAACTAAAGCAGGGGGTCCGCGGGGTCTTTAAAAGTATTAAAAGTTGATAAATCAATTTAGCGAAAATGAAGGCTATTAAAAAGTATTAAACGGCATTTCCAAGGTATCACATTTTGTAGCTTGTTTTCAATAAGTATATAAAGTGTCCAAAGAGGTTGTATTCTACAGTCTGCCTGAATGTAATCATGGCGTAGGTGTGTAGTGTGATTCTGTGTCGTTTATTTATGGCATCCCGTTGGATTGGACGTCATCTGAACAGGACATCGCGCGCTCACTGCTTGATAGCAAGAAGGTCCGTTTACGCCGGTTGCTAAGCAACATCGTTATGGGGAAATGCAAGTCTGCGTCCAAATGGTTGGAAGATAAGGAGGAAGGACAATCAATACTGTATATAGTCAATGTGAGGTAAAGTGTGTCGCCAAGGTAACCGGTTAAAACTCAAAGTGGCGATGAGGTCTTAAAATGTACGGAAAGGGTCTTAAAAAAGGTCGTAAAAGGTTTTACATCTGACTTCAGGATTCCTGCATATACCTTGTAGGTATTCCCATTAAGCAAGTGCTGGTTTATGTTTTTTTCCTCCACTCAATGCTTCTTGGCAGTTTGTCTATTCCATTTACCGTCTTAAATACTCTGCATTTAGACTGGATATTGAAGTGAAAACTCACAAGTGAAACAGATGTCACATGTTGTTCTTATAATCAATGACAGCGTGTGCACATGAACAATTCCCCCCCAGAACAAGTAAACAGAGCTATGGATTTAATTTGGGATGCTGTCAGGAGTCCAAACCTCAGGAAGCTTCATTGCCAATGAATTGCAAACTGATTTTCTTTTTCTGGACATGGAGGTGGGTTTTAGTACTTTCCAAATGAGCTCCACCATGGGTGCCCTGCTGGTTCTAGTTATGGTAGCGAATTATGTATGTCATCAAATTAAAACTTAGCTGTTCAGTTGCCACACAAGTTCTGATTTAGGGTCAATTTGAACCTTTTTTCTTCAATTCTCAATGATTTCTAAGCTCGTATTCAGTGTCTTCATTAATTTCCCTCACTTCCCTTCCTCCTTTTCAGTTTTTGTCACAAGCCAGATGACAGCAAAGTGCTCTGCAGCCGAGATCGAGAGGAAGAAGCAGGAGGCGTTAGCCAGGAGACGACAGCGAATGCAGAACGCCCCGAAACCGTAGAGGAGCTTCGTCCGGAATAAAGGGATATTATAACACTACAATAAGCCTTTAGAAAACGAATCAGTCCTTTTCACCAATGATGGCATCTAAGATATATCATGTTGGTATTAATCAGTATTAATTATTATTATTATTATTGTTGAAAAAGCTGCACTGTTCTCTGATCTGCTGCTGGGATAACAATAGAAGAGATTTCCCAGAGCTTTTCTAATGCTGACTGAAAAAGAGTTTACATTCCAGTTGGAAAAAGTTCTAAATGTTCTGTTGTGTAATGTCTGCACATATTTTGGATAACACTTTTGTTTGCTTTTGTTTAAAAGTAGTAAATAGTTTCATCTGTGTTTCTCTTGGAACTGCAATACAAGGGCAGAGAGTCGTTAACACATGATTGGTTGAAGTTATTCATTAGACATGTCTTCATCTAAGTAACAATGAAGACAGTCATTGCTGTATTGTTGACTGTATGTGTTTGATCAAACAGTGTATGTGTCTTCCTATATATATATATATATAGCCGACTTTTGTTTGTGCCTGAAAAAAATGTTTTGCTTTTATTTGCACAGGCCAGAATGATGTGTTATATTGTAAAGACAGTGATCCTCTGTAGACAACAAATCATTTTAATGGCCATTCACCTGAAGATGATTGCCTTACTATTCCTAGAAGTTGTGATCAGCTGTGTTATGAGGGTAGACTTGTAGTAAACAGTGCCTTTGTTTTTTGACTCCAGCCTGTTACCTCACAACAACATGATGGACTTATTGCGAATATGAATTTTGAATAAACACAAACTACTACTGTTCTCTATGATGTTGTGTCTACCTGCCAAACCCAAATCAAAGGAATACATTATTCAGACTGTGTATAAACGGTGTTAATCGTATTTGGTGTGAATGCAAATTAGAGCTCTTAACAATGCAACTTTCAAACAATGTTGACGGGGAGAGAAGTTCTATATTGAATAGAAAATACAAAAAAGAAAGCGGCAGGTGCTTTGGGAAATGCAGACCAATCGGTATATCAACCAGTATTATTCAAGACTGAAGTTAAAGCAACAATGTGCAAAATACTGCTGCACTAACTCTCAAGCTAACTGCAGAAGAAATATCTTAACAGCAGTCGTGTGGAATATCGGAGCGTGTAATTGCTCAAAGAAAGACTGCCAATCAAAAAGAGAACTTGCAAAAAAATCTGATTTATAATCCGATATCAACATTTTAGATCGTTCGAACCACTGTTCAGGGGACCCCAATTTTAACCACATCTGATCTGGGATAAAAGTGGTGGGATTAATTTAATTAATCGGGGACAATCGAGTCCGGCAGTGGCTCAGTCAGTTTGGGCTTGGGCTGTGAGCCGTAGGGTCGCCGGTTCAAGTCCCCGAACAGACCTAAATATGGAGTGTGGACTGCTACTTCGAGATGTCCCAGTTCACCTCCTGGGCCCTGCCGTGGTGTCCTTGAGCAAGGCACCGGACAATGTATATATATATATTGTATTAATGGGCTAAAACTGAGCGTAAATGCCTGCAGTGCTTTTAAAAAAATGTTCAACAGTTGTAGTCTTAGCTATAATGGTATTCAATGGATCATACATTTCCCATGATGCATCTGAACAGTGTCTGTCAAGATAACAACTCCAGCCTCCAAAAATGTCCCCTTCTTTCGAAACCCACTTCATCACTGAGTTACTTTTTGGTTAAATGTCTTATCCTTCAAACTTTGTACAGCTGTTTTCACAGGCTGAGAACTCCTCAGGACGAAACAACTGGACCTTGTTTAAAATTGATGGAGTTCCCCTATAGAGACACTTTGTCGGAGTCTTTTCGCTGCATCATTGACTCTACTTTTGAATCAGACAGCTGCTCAGGATTTTGAGTGTACACAGACTTACTGCAGTTATTGGCATCCATTACTGTAACCTCCGTGTATTGCAGGCCTGTTGACAGGTCCAGCAGATATGATGGGCCCATTTCACAAACACTCAAATCTGTTTTCAACAAGTTGCTGCCTGAAAAGGAACACCATTGTGACCGTGCAATAGCCTCCGTGTGGAGCGTATTATTGTTATTAGACGTAAGGGATTATTTTAATATGAGGGCTAATTTGTCCTGTGGCCCCTTATCACTCTCCTCACCTGCTGTAGTGTGTGTGAGGGGAGGACAATGTTCCTCTTTGTAATCCCAGGAGAATTCCTCAGTGTTCCTCCCTCTAGCCCATCCCCAGCCATTACGTGCCTGTGAGTTCCCAGGTGTGTGTGTGTGTGTGTGTGTGTGTGTGTGTGTGTGAGAGAGACGGGTGGTCTGCAGGTGTGTATATTTGAGTATTTATCCCATTCCTTGCACGTAATAGGCCCCATCCTCCTCCCTGCTCCCTGTCTTCTTCCCCTCCCCACTCACAGTAAATCAGTTGGCAGGGCAATTTGGCAACAGCATAAAGGCCCCTGGTTTTTATGACTATGATTATGGTTATGATGATGACTAGTATTTATTTCAACTATCTGATGAAACCCTTGGCTAAAGCTAACAGGTGTCGGGCAGGTACAATATCGTGCTCGCTGAAGGATCCCTGTATCGTCGCCATAGAGGGGGAAATATCGCGGAGCACACAGAAGAAAGGGCTGTTTCAGCGCCCACTCGTTACGCCGTACACGGAGCAATTTCTGATTATTGGATGGGAGTGGAGCGCCACAACGTCCCCTTTGTAGAAGGAAGAATGATTTATGACTGTTAGTCGGGCATAAGGCAGTAATTGCTGAAGTGACGATTATGTTACCATGGCACCTGTTTAAACTGTCCATTCTTATGTGAATGTTTTCATTTTTGGAAAAGGGGGATTTGCAGCTTGAAACTGATGTGTGGAGACATTAATTGAAGTTTGGGATGGTGTGGTAATAATTTAGGGGGGAAAGGGAGAGTGTATGATGGACAGATTTGTGTTGTGTTATTAGGAAAAGTTCTATTCAGCAAGTGTGATAAATACACTAAAATATGTGCCAATATTGCTGCCCTTTTCCCCAATGTTACTGCTTTACTACTGAATAATTGAATTTATACAAAAGCTAAAAAGTCAACAGATGCTACATGAAAAGCAAACTAGGAGTTAAAGCGTAATGATGCTCGAGTCCATACGTGTTCATCTTTATGTAAACATTTAGCACTCAGTAACGATAATTAGGGACAGCGCACTCATGGCGTGACAGCTTAGAGGTTGTTGTTCTGTGCTGAGTTTGACCTTTGACCTCCTCTGCGTAGGTGTTTCAGTGAAAAGAAGATTTCTCCTTCCTGGATCAAAACAATATTTGTGTTGAAACCCTGTCGTACCACAGGTTCAAGACTCAAAGACCTATACTAATGCCGGATATCGAAAATAAAGATTGATGCCTCAAATCTCAAAAAAGGCAAAAACACTTCCTGAAACCTAGAGCGCTCCGGTACTGACTTGTTATAATCTACACAGGGGAAATGAGGAGAAATTATATTGGGTTAAATCTTCCTAACATTCTTATTCTCAAATGTAATTTGGTTAAATAATTACAATTATAATTAAGTTCAATCACTAAACTGCTAAACACATTGTGAAAAGAATGCATATTAATGCATCAAGCGTGATCTCACTCTTTCAAATATTTTACTGTTATAATCTAAAGTGATACTGTTTTAGGAACAAGAGCTGGGAGACTATTCCCCTTTTTGTCACCTCTCATTGCCTCCCTACACTCACTCTCAGTGTGGGGTTGAAGTGGCGGAAGTGAGTAATGAGACCTGGAGGCCTACTCGTGTGCAGGATTACAAATGCATTTGTAGTAGATTAGCATGAGCCAAGATTTTCCTTGGGCATCCACGGTTCCACAAAACAGACTCCAAGAACAGCAAACACACATTAAACTTCTTTGGAAATACGACCTGAGGAAGCTATTGCCTTCTTCACACAAGTGCAGAGCAGCCTTGGGAGATAGCATCTCTAATTGCTTTTCCTGCTGCAGAAAGGCTAAACACTGTTATCATAGCTCACAGATTACCTCCCAATGTAGGACTAATGCATATCACACATACATGAGCTCCTTTTCCCACTTTCTTTCAACTCTCTAAATCAGGCTATCTTTTTCATATGTTTGTATATCTGTGTCTGTCTCTCACACACACACACACACACACACACACACACACACACACACACACACACACACACACACACACACACACACACACACACACACAGGGAGTGGAGGAGGTGTGCAGCGCTGTGGCAGCAGCCTGTCAGCAGCGTAAATGACCTGTGAAGAGTTTCACGGTGCGTGTCATTAGGCAGCTTTAGATTTGTTTCAACAGCGCTTTACCTGAGGGCTCCATTCATGGGCCCCCAGGTATGACCGCCCTCCCCACTGGGGGGGAAGTCGAGGGGTGCCAAATTCCCCCACTCCCTCCTTGGAGGACAGTGATGGAAAGCCCATGAGCATGATGGGGCAACACTTAAGTGTAGAGTTCAGGGTGTTTTGGGACTACAAACGGCAAGAGAGTCATCTTTTAAAAGTTGTTTGGACAGATTTTTGCTAATGTTGTTTGTCTGGAAACACTTTACTATTATTGGCTTTTTATTTATCGGTTGCCATTAGGAAACTGTCTGATAGTAGAATAAACTATGGGATTTTAAGACATTAAAGCCAAGACTTTCTCAGTGATATTGATCTTTTGTTGTGTCTTTAAACATGACTATTATAGTGATGTATAGTCTTAACAATGGAACCTTTTTATATTCGTTGTGGTGTGAAACAACATACCTCCCAAGTCTAAAAGGGATTATCTTTCACCCACCTGGCGCAAAACTGACATTTAAATTGTCTAGTTGACAATCTCGTCTAAGTAATTTACAACTACGTAATCAGTGGAATATCTTTCCAAGAAAAATAAGTAATGTAAAGGTCAATGTCACCCAGGCGTAATAATGATAAGAAGCAAGGAGGTGTCTTGTTATTTTAATCTAAATCACTGCTTTGGAATGGAAGGAGTAAGAGAAGAAACACATCTTGTGAAGGATTTATTACCCACCTGAAAGCTCTGCAATCAACTCGACTTTCTAAAACTGTTCAACCCGGGGATTATCACCATGAGTTTGTTTTTTATCTCCTCCATCTAAACTGATCCCGTATTGATACCCCAGCATCACCACGCTTTATTAAGCACGCTGATAAGAGTCTGCAGACTTAACCAATGTTTTGAGAAACGAAGCTCTGTTGCACACAGCCAACAAATATCCCTGTTGCCACATTCCTCCGGCCTATATCTGCCAACACCTTTGCGCTACAATGGCTTTGGACCTTTTCCCCCCAGCCTGTAATAGTCAGCGTGGGCTGTAATGGTCTGTTGACAGGTTTAGGCTGAGGTAATTCTGTTGCCGGGCTTTACAGTGAGGTGCCAAATCTTCCCCCGAGGACAAAAAGGAATAGCAGATGCAGGAAAGCTAGCTATTAGCTTCATAATACTCACTTTGTTATCAGTCAATTGTTCTTATAAAAGTTTGGAGACAAAGAGCCCGCAAATCATTTTGTGCTTTCACATAATGTCAGCTCATCTTTAAGGACCTGGAGTTAATTACAGGGTAAGTTGTTGCTTTGTTGTACAGTAACAGTATCAATATGTTAGCAGGGCGCTAAAATGTTAAGTGGTGCTAGCTTCTCGAGTTAAAATGGCCCCCGCTGTGCAGAGACACAGTTCATTTTTTGAAACAGGACTGCATAAAGAGAGGCCAGCTGAGTGGAACTCCAGCTGCCTAACACACACACACACACACACACACACACACA